GGCAGTTGCTTAACCAACTGAGCCACCCAGGCGCCCCTCAGTTGTTGTTTTTTTTAACTTGCTATTTGAAATGATTATAGATTTATAGGAAGTTGCAAGAAAGTACAGGAAGTTGCAAAAGAAAAGGTCCTGTGTACTCTTCACTCAGCGTTCCCCAATGGGAACATCTTACAAGTATAAGATCACAACCTCAGGCTTTAAAATGATACAGGCACAATCAGGAAGGTGAGGGGGCTGGTAACCAGTTCACTCCTTCCCCTGAATTCCCCCAAGAACCTGCATAGCAGTGAAGACAATCAGGCCTTTTAAGCATGCATTGGCCCCCTTCTGAGGGTAGATGGGCTGGCATTGGCAGAAGTCAGAGACCAAGTAGCCAGGCAAAATGAGGGGGCATAGTGGCCTTAGGAGGTCATCCAAGAGATGTGGGCAAAGCTGTCTTTGGGAGGACTGCTTGCAACATTGTTTCCAATAATGAAAACTTGGAAACATCCTGAATGCCCAGCAATTGAGATTGGCCAAGAAGATAATGAAGCACCCACCCGGTAAAATACAGTGCAGCTATTGTGATTACATTGTAGAAGAATAACTTTTATCAGGGTAAATGTTCATGATATACTGGCAAGGAAAAAAAGGAGCAGCAAAAATAATATGCAGTATGATTCTATGAGGGAAAACACACACACACACAAACTGCTGAAGGATATAACCCCCAAGGTGTTAACATGTTAACACTATCTTTAGACAATGGAATTATGAGAGATTTTTATTTTTCCCTCTGCATCTTACAAGTTTTCTGTATTGAATATATATGACTATTAGAAGTTTTAAAAAATATTGCCAGATCCACCCCTTGTCTTGACTCCGCACAAACTCAGGCTCCGTGTGTCTGGTAAAACTTCCGGCGGGAAGGGGTTCTGCTGCCCTCTGGGGCAGGGGAGGAGGTGACAGGGTGTCTGGAGTTACCCAGAGAGCAAGGGCTAGCCCTGCAGGAGAGAGTCTTTGCATGCATGGGAGAAAGGGGGCGGCAACACCGCCAGTGAGTGTTCCAGGGTGGCCCAGGAGCAGGGAGCAGGTAATCTGGTGCCTGGTGAAATTCCAGAGCCAGGTTGAGGCCAGACGCTCACTCTCGCCCACTTCCTTGTTCCAGCTTCTTTACCTTCTGCTCACACACACCCCGCATTCTCCACCTCCATTCAGGAGCTCCTGGCAGGGGCAGGGCTGCCTTGGGTTTAGCTCTGAGCCTCCCTGAGCTTCGCAGAGGCCTGGCTGACCCAATGGATGATGGATGGATGGTACCTCCCCCATCATCCTTTGCCCATCTCCATCTGCTGACTTTCCACCTCTCTGCAGTATCAGATGTCTCTTCCTCCCGGAAGCCCTTGCTGACCCCTGCAGGCCCCCACTGTACTGCATGCTAACCTCAATCGCAAATTTCAGCAGAGTCGGCCTAACACCTAGATTATGGGACTCGAAGCTGGTTTCCTCCGTCAGAGCATAAAGCTTAGCAAGGTCAATGCCCTGGTCAGCTCGGGTTCTCCAATGCACTCCACAGCACAGGGCTTGGCACTCAACCAGTCCTATAAAAGAAGAGAAAAGATCCACTCTTCTCCCCCTGAGGGCCTTTGACTCACAGTGAGTGGGGAGTGGGGGGCGGTTCCTGCCTCCCCCTCCCCACTAAGAGAGCGAGCTTCCATTGCCCCAGGCTCATCTGCACCTCCGACGCCAATTGCTAGTTCTTTTTACTTGCTCCAGTCATGGTCACGAGGGGACTGGAGAGGAATGGTGACTCAGCCCAATTCATCACCACAATGGAAAAACCCAGTCACCTGTCCTCCTGGCAACAGGACCGGAGCTGCCTCTGCATCTGGAAGGGCAGCAAGCCATACCGCTTTCAAGGTCCTTTTGTCTTTCACCTGCTGAAAAATCAAAGACTTGAAGTATGGAGGAGCACCACCAGTGGACACTGTAGATTTGCAGCGCGCTATGAATCTCGGCGACTGGGCCTGGTGTGTTCCCTGCACGCCAGCCTCATGGCGGCCTCACAAGTCCACTGTGGTCGGAAGTGGGCACTGTCACGCTTTCGGCCACCAGCATCAGAGTTGCCCTTCCTACCAGGCAGAGCCCACCCCCTCCTAGAGGATCGGAGAGCGTCTTTTCCCAGCCTCCCTTGCAGCTTTGGCGGATGACCTGCTCTGGGCACCTCTGGTCAGACACGCCCATGCTTGACCATGATTTAGAAACGAGTGGCACGAGGAAGCCAAGGCCATGCGGAACCCATTCTGGTGAGGACACAGCAGCAGCGGCAGCACAACCTGAGGCTTCAGAGGCAGCCATGGTCCCGCTGGACGGAGCATCCAGTGTCCTTGCCCACGGGCGGCCCCCGGCTGCAGCGGCTGTGGCTGCAGATGGCAGTGGTCCTCTGACACCAGACCAACGCTGCGGTGTTGGGCCTGACTCCTGAGATGGCCAGAGCTGCCTGTCCCCCTTTTAACAAAGCCTTTTTCTGCTTCAGCTAGCCAGCGTCAGGCTCTGTTTGCTGCAACTGCCCAGACTGCTGCATTTGCTGGAATTTCTAGATGGGGTTTCGAAGGCTCGGAAGGATCTTCAGAAAGGCAGTGTCTCGCCTCCAGCAGAGATGCAGACCGGTCTCCTGCCCATTTTACAGATGGCAAAGGGCAAGTCCAGCAAAGGCAGTGACTCAGGCAGCACCTTTCAGGTAATTAGGAGCAAGGCCGGGGGATGCGTCTTAAGAGGCCCCCGGTCCCAGCCACCAGCTTGGCCCTCTGCCGGGCTCTGCTGTCCTCTGTTCAAAGCCCTGCCATCCGGCCCGTCCTCAAACAGCATTGCCCCCTGCGTGGGGTGTTAAAGATGGAGAGAGCCCGAGAGCAGAAGGGACTGAGAGCTGGCCCTTCTGCTGACTCAGCAGGGACTCCTCCTTTCCTGGCATGACTGAGCACCATCTCCTCCAGAAGGGGCCAGGGCCCCCTCCACCTGCTGGTTCCCCAAGCTAAGCACCTGTGCTTGGTGTAACAGCCCCCCTCCCCGGGGGTGGGGAGTGAGGGTTCTTACAATTACATTTCTTCACCATCTATTAAGTGTCCACTTTTAAGGGTTCAGACCTGCAACCTGACCCACCTGAATGCTCATTTGGGGTTGTGAATTACCTGAGCCTCGTGGATTGTGTGTATCAGTTCAAGGCCACGGTAGATGCCATTCTGCACACAGACAGACATGTCATAGTGCCAAAGCTTTTGTTAGGCAGCCCTAAGACCCTCCTGGGGCCTGTGTTCCCCCCAAGGAATTCAGAACAGGCTGTTTCATGAGTTATGTTAATAGAATATCCACAATTAGTTTTGTTTCATGACTAGGTCTGAATTTATTGAAAAGGGCAGAACTCAGGGAAGCCTGAATCTCTAAGACAATCATAACAATTTAATCATCAATAATAGCAACTATTCAGTGAACACTTAAACCACGTGTCAGACCCCACACTAAGCATTTTCTTTACGATCCATCATTTAATTCTTACAAGAACCCTCTGAAGATTCATCACCCCAATTTCAGAATATGGCATGAAGGCTCAGAGAGGATGAGTAACTTGCTGGACATTACACAGCCAGGAAATTAAAGACCCAGCCTGTGCTCTTAAGGACTGGCTCCAGACTTATATAGAACTACAGTCTCCTGGATGTTTTGGACACACAGGTTCACTCTGTCACCACCGACCTCCCCCATCCCCTTTACAAAAGTGGAAAGTGAGAAGCAGGGATTTCCCCCAAGGTGAGCCCCAGGGCTGTAAGAACCCAAGCTTGTTGCCTTCTATGTGGTTTATATACTGTATCCCAAGCAGGAGCATGCACCCCATCTCAGGCAGCCAAATCTTACCAGCCTCTTCAAGACGGGTGAGTCAGTTAATTCAATGCCATGGCAGATCCCAACACAGCCTGGAGCTGAGGGAAAGCCAGGACCTAACCACAAGCCAGCCCAGACAAAGGGGAGGAGATGCTGCAGGATCTTCTTGACCTCCCACCCAATGTCATCCTGGACCTCCAGGATGACTGGTCCAACCAACTCCTTCGCTCTGCACAGAATAGGCTGAATTCCGGGAGAGGCAGATCCCTGACCAAGGTCACTGGCAGGGCCTCAGCAGAACCGCGGTCTCCACAAGCACTGTTCTGAGCTGTCTTTGCCCAAGTAAATTCTTTCAGGTCATCAGATTTCCATTCTCCCTACAGTTGGACTCCATCTAGGGACTTTAGCGCTGCCTCATTTGGGGTGACAGATGAGAGCAACGTCACTGGGCCAGACCAGAGTGAGCCTGAGGGAGACAAGGCTGGGCCAGTTCCCCTCCTTGAGGAGAGCAGGGACCCTGACCCTCTGAGCGGGACACTTGGGGGCCCAGAACACCTTTACCTGGAGACCACCACTCCCCACGAGTTCCTCCAAGGAACCCCTGGGGTTCTGAATACTGGACAAGGCTCCAGGGCCCCTGAGCACCAGGTTCTTTCCGAGCCCCCGGGGCTGTTCCCCGCTCGGCTCCCAGGCGGCGGCGGGTGGGGCCGAGCGGCAGGGGCCGACGGAGGAGGCTGCTGTCCCCACCCGCTGGCCGGGGTTCCCCTTGGGAACCTAAACAAAGACGGACGCAGAGGTCTCCCCCACCCCGGGAGCCCGACGCCGCGCGACCGCAGGGGGACAGGAGGGGCGGGCTGGGAGCCTTCGACCGCACCCCGCCGAGACCGAGCGGCGGGGCCCCTTCCCCGGACGCCCGCGGAAGGAGAGAGGCGTGCGGCTCCGCCCGGGGTCTCCGCTCGGCTCGCCCGCCGGGCGCTCCCGCCGCGGCAGGAGGCGGAAGCCGAGCGCCCGGGACGGCCTGGGGCGCGGCCACCCCGCGGGGCCCAGGCGGCC